CCCATCTGCCTCGGCCGGTAACTTAAATTAGTAACATAATATCATCTCCACCAACCATATTATGAAGATGTTGGCATGAGGATGCTCATTGAGCTCAAAGCACTGCCCAGATTACTTTTCCACAAATCTTCAAATGATCCGTCCACTCTGTCTTATTTTCCTATGTCCTCAGCTCTAAACACATAAACCTTAAATCTTAGTGCTCCGCATCCAGTCACTTTTTGGGTTGACCCTGGGTTCAGAAAATGTTTGAGGACAGCTGATTGGTGCAATAGAGAATCAAAATATCCTTCTGAGTTTGTTGACACACCTAAACCAACAGCACATCCATTTCTAGCTTCAGTTTCTATAAATAATTTTGAACAAATAAACACACAACAAGGTTTCCATTCATGGGGGCAACTACTTCCTGGCTTCCCGGTACACAGTGTGAACACTTTTAGGTGAGATTGTTTCCAACTTAAGGCAGAGAAAAACCAACACCTACAGACTGCTACAGGCATCTAAATTACAGAAAGGTCATATCATAAAATACTTATTATCATATTAACTCCAACTGGTGGAATTTGTCAAGACATCCAGAATCCAATATAGTAAAACGCTCAAATCTGCTAGGCATAAAATCATGTGAAAGCACCTACAGGCAATGTAATATATACTGAAATGATCTTTTAACAGTCATGGATGCTTATGTTTTTGTAAACCTTCATTTACCTTAGGAGACCTGATTCCTGATTTACCTGATTTATCATTGGTAGTTGTATATCTTGATGCATTTCCAGAAATAACTCTGTTACTCTGATACTGTTTTGAAAAGGTTTTTACAAAAACCACATAGATTAGATAAACAATATTAGCAGTTGATCAGCCGCAGCTTTCCAGAACTGCCCTTAGGGGTGAAAGGGTTCACTGATTGTATGATGCTGCAGTTGCCAGAGAGTTGGACAGTCAGGATGTACTTTTGATTTTTCTTTAGTGATTTTGAAAAAAGCTGAGATAGCATTTTAACCCTATAATGCCAAATGTATCATATTTGATTCATACCGTTTCTGAAGTCTTTTGGATCTGAGACTTTTTGCATCATTTAATGGTAAAAGCTTTGCTCAAACCCCTGTTGTACACATTCAGATATACCTGAAAACAGCCAGTAGAAGACTACACGAAAATATATTTTTGACTTATTTCACGCTAATTTGATCAAAATAATTTCTGTTTTTTTTTCTTCATATGTTGTTGACGGGCCAAAGAAAGACTTCAGACTAAAAAAATCCAATATTCTTCATATTTTTCTTGGATCAGGCTTTAAAGGGTTAACTTTTTTAAATGCTTGGAAAATTATTTAATTCTCGCACAGAATTTTACTGCTTATTTGCAGCCACATTAGTAAATTACGCTTACTTATTTGTTTTTTCTAACTTTTATAGAAACAGTTGTTCAAGGGCGCTATGACACATACCTACAAATCTAGACAATGTTAATAATAAGTGAGGATCAAAGATCGCTGAACTTTTCTTAATCTACATTTTCATATCTACCAAAGCAACGTCTTACCCTGTCAACTCAGTCTTTGCACACAGGCTTTTTGAAAATGTTCTTAAAGAGAACCATAGTGTTCAAATATTATGGAATGTGTTCTCATCACAGAAAGCGATTTTTTAGTTACACAAGGCACAATAACTGCTGAATTAGTGTTACATTACATTGGCCTGCACATTAGGGCCTAGTCTTATATTTACAAAACCTAATAAACAATTTCCAATGAAGACATACCGCAACAGCAGGCAAAGACTGCTGTACGGTACAGAAAAAGTATATTAAATCGTATTATTCTTCTTAAGTGCTTAATTTTCATGGTGATTGATGAACCGCACATATTTATCATTATTTTACAAATGAGTGCACTCTGTTTTTTTAGCATGACATGTTTTCCCTAGTAACATGACTGCTGTTCAAAAGTTCATGCTCCATGTTTGACACAATGCCCCAACACCTCAAGTTTTATTGATGCAGTAAATGAGTAAATAGCCAGAAGGAAACTGTTGCATAACTGCATTCAGTTCGCCTATAGTCACTTGGCTGCTGGCTGTTATGTAATGCTGCAGTAGGGATTCTTGTAGTTCTAAAGCTCATCCTGAAAAAGAACTGAAAATATCTCCTAGTTATTTTTTCAAAAAATCTATTCATAATTTTGGGGAGTATTAGGGTTCTACATGATGTCCAAGGGGGTTTCATGCACTGCATCTTTTTGGAATTTTCAGGGAAAAAATGACCATTTTCTTCGTTTACAGCATTTTTAACAATATTTTTCTTTTGTTGGTGATAACACACGATAATTTTCAGATAATTCTCAGTTCAAGTAACCTACACAACAAACCTGGACAGTAAATGTTGGAAGACTTAGTTTTTAATGGTAGACAAATGTAATATGGCAAGTTGAGACCTGAAAAAAACATTTTTGAATTCATGTACCTAGAAAATTGACCCTCTATTAAAACTAATTTTAGTCCATGTCTACTTGATGTCTAAACAAATGACAACATGACAACAATCAACCAAATTAAACTGACCAAATATGACAGAAAAAGCAAAGAAGGGATTTGTCAGTTGTGATGTTATCAGAAAGTCGACCTTGCATATCAGTAACTGTTATCTGTGAATGTAGTAACACACCACAGGTTGCACACACCTATCCCACCACTTCACGTGCATTCAAGAGGCTGCTCTGATATTGAATAAGCTAAACTGATACCACCAGTATAACTAGGAAGTTTTTGCCCATGAAAGATTCATGTTATTATGAAAATTATAAAGCAAGAAATTGCTGCTCTGGAAGTTTAGAACTTCTCCAGTGAAGTATGAAAAGACAAATGTGAGACCCAGAAGGAGTTTAAAGTAGAAATGAGGTTGAGAACAGGATGGAATGGGTACAAACTTCAGATGGAAGAATATGCAAATGTTTTAGCGCCACCTGTTGGAGAAATGTATCAGATTATACAATGCAAGATAAGTAAAGTTCTTCTGGTTTTACTCACCCAGGTTTTAGATTTGTCACTAATTTCCCATCTCAGCATTCTTTTCATAAAGAAGGAAGGTATTTAGTCCCTCAGAAGGGAAAGCGAGGGTTGTCAAGACAAATTTAACCCCCTGAATTTACTATTTATATGTCATTTACGTAATAATGTGTCTTGAGGTTGTGCATTCTGTACGGGAAGCTGAAAACAAGTTTCTTTGTAAAGTAAAAATAAAGCTGAATCTGAATCTAAAGCAATAACAATTTAATCACTGAACGTCAAAATTGCTCGTAAGCAGATTTTCTTTACCTTTGGACTGACAAGCTCTTTGCCCAGTTTCCTGCTTTTTTTGCTCGGCAAAGATAGTCATACAGTTTTCTCTTTTGAAAAATAGAAATGATTATTGTTCTATTCTAAGTTTAAATTTGACATGAATGACACAAATTACTATTCTAAATCAGTTATCAGTAAAGATAATTGTTACCTTCCGTTTCAAATCAGAAAGGTCAGAGGAGTTTGAGCATTTTTAAATGAAAATTGCTCCACTGTTCTTAAAACCAACTTGAGTTCAACTTAAGTTACTTCTAAAAGAGATCAATAGAACATTACTCTCTGAATAATTGAATAAAAGAACAATAGTCTGGCTCTTGGCCTGAAATTATATAATCCTACAATGTATAAAAAGGAAAAGCACTGAATCCTGTTTATGCTCCAAACACTGATCAATTCAATTTCATATGAAGCTTCCTAAAGAAATACAGTATATAGCAAGACAAGCCAAATTTATATATGTAGAACAATTCAACATCACTGTGATTTTAAAGTGCTTTACATAGAACATAAACACGCTGAAAACAAAACGTACATAGCATCAATAGAAATATTCACATACATATGACATTGAAAGAAAAATTTGTTCTAATTCCAGTAGGATGCATCATTTACATTTGCTAATCATAATCAAGATGTAAAAGATTTTACTTGTAAATCAGAAAAGTTATTAATTGTAAGTTAATTATTCTACGTATTGTAATTCAGATTTAAGTGTTTTGGAATCTGATTGTAAATACTGACAAAGAGACAACTATACTGTACATGATTGATTTATAAATATATTAAAATCTTTATTTGAGATCAAAACACAATTGTTAAAGCATCCAGTAGCTAAGGAGGTCTTTCTACAAGATATTGGAAGCAAACTAGGCTTTTGATCCAAGCGTCTGTAGAACTTTTGGTGGGATTTAAAACTGAAATCGGCAAGGAGTAAATCAGTGCTGCTCTTTGTTTAAACCCATCAGCCAACTTCTAGGATTTAAACCCTACTTAAGGTGTAAGAAAAGTGAATAACATAGGTTTTGATACTTCCAAGAACTGTTCAGTTTCATTGTAACAGAGTAACATCTGTGATCTCCTGACAGTTATAATTGTGGACACTGTCAGATTGCCAAATGAGAAAATTCCAGGAAATTCCATTAGATCCTTGTAAATATGTTTAGATATGGTATGTTGTTGTTGTTGGTATGTTCATAACAGTTTTCTGTGACCACTGTGTAATGCTTTTGATTGCATCACACTTTCCATGTCGCTTTCTCGAAGGAGCTCAGTAATGGATCACTCATTTCTGGGCTTGAGATATATGCTTGTTCTGTTTTATGGCAGCAGTAAATGTTAACTCCTGGTCACTTTTACGAAGAATAATGACAGATTCCACAGCTGGAAAAGATATAATGAGATTACATGCGTACTTTTTTAAATTTTTATGTCTTCAGCTTTTTAAAGAAATAAAAAGCAAAACAACAAAGAGGACAAGATGAAGAATTGCTGCACAAATTAAGATTTTAGAAGTCTATTTGTAACAACTTACCAAATCCATTTAAGTCATCATGGAACAAAATCACTTGATGAGTCTTTTGCTCAGCAGTGTTGGATTGAATCCCAGGCATCCTGCCAAAAATGTGTGCCTGCTGATGTTGATGGCATTATTATGTCGTTGGCATAATCAATACAACCACAGGGTGGTGGTCCCTTGAAAAGGCCCCTGATGAAACTTGAAAGGACAGATCTTTATGTTCAGGCAGAAGGGTGATTCCCAAGAAAACTCCAGCAGGCAAAACCAAGTTATGCATGTGGACGAGAGCACTGAAGCCATTCAGACCTTATTTATTTGTGAATAATACATAGGTTGATCTTCTGCCACTGGATTTTTAAAAATGTTTTTTTTGCATTTGTCATGAATTCATGCTTCTTTATGTAACTTAGGGTGAGAGATACACTTTAAACTGGAGTGTTGTGAATACTTAATTAAGGTCTGACTAGCATATGCTAAAATATTTTCATTAAAAAAATCACAACTAAAAGTGGAAGCAAAGTGGAAGCAAAGAAAAATGGCTTGACAATCAGACAATCAGATATGCTGGAGCAATTGGTTTCGAGATAAGTCTGGTTTAATTATTACATCTGCTACTAAAGGAAACTCAATAATATTTCAACAGTTTCTTTTACATCCTTTTCTGACTATTATTTTACAGACCACAATGCAGTTTCTGTCTATTTCCTTCTATAGTGTCTAGTAAAACTGCAACCAGCTGTATGGATTTACTTAAATGTGCAAACAGAAATGGAAATAGTTTGAAATAAAAAGAGTCTAACATCTTTGAAAGCTAATATTGGTTACGAAACTAAATTTCCTTATGTGAAACCTGTTTGCGTCCCTGTCCCAGCACAGGTTCATGAGATAGGTGCTATTTGTTATACCTGAATTATTTAAAGGGCAGAGTAAAGTGGCAGTTGAAAAAAAAAAAAATCCTGTGAAACTGGTCTCAAGGACTGTGTTGAAATCAAGAGAAGAAAAAACTGAAAAACAACTGCTCAAGACAGCTTTGACAGCTTGGCACAGTACTGTAAAGGAAAATCCATAATTCATGTGGGATGTTTTTGACATGAAGCAGATTTAACTATTTCTATGTCTGACTAATTGAACAAAACATCTGTCCTTAAAATGTACTCAACATTATATGGAAGTGGCTGCATGCTTGAGATTACCTCTAACAGAGCAGTGGTATTACATATAAATGATTATATAACAAAGATTTAATACCCCTAACCTGTCAGAAGATGCATTTTCTGTCTACCTGTTTATTGCTTTCATACAACAGCACTTTCTCTTCATTTAAATGCCTAAAGGCAATTGACTTAGATGTTGTTTTTGAATATTTTTAAATTCCCCCATACTATCATGTTAGTGGTTTTCTCTACTCTAAGATATGCTATTCTCTATATACTTTTGAAGAGGTGAGTGCCTAAGTCAGTTCCTTGGGGAGCGCCTAATTCAGTCCTATACAGCAAATTGCACCGTTTTATAATCTGGTTTGACATGATTAATTAGCCCTACGGAAAAGCTTCCATCACATGGGTGTAAAGCTGCTGCCATACCGGGCTCCTAATCCCTCTACCCACCGTGTGAGAGACGGCATGTTCGCGCACAGGACGGCGCGTCGCTGCGCAAAACGCGTTCCCGGCCTGGCCTCTCGCTTTTTTGGTTCTTTTTTTTTTATCTAGCGGCAGCATCCGCCGGTGCTTTTCGCCCGTTTGGGGTGAGCAAAAAGGCGTGTCCCTGAGTCATGCATATAATAGCGAGACGAGCCGCGATAGGCTTTTGCTTTCCGGTTCTCGGCTCTCTGTGCGCCAGCGGACTCACCGGCACTCGCAGGACTTCCACAATGGCCGAGAAACTGATATTCAATAAACCAAAGGTACGTCATCAGCGGACCCTCCTGAAATTCCAAATGCGTTTAAATACTTCACTAATTTGAAGGGAGTTACTCCACCGCCTGTACAGCTGAGTACAGTAAGTACAGTTAGAGAGCTGCTGGGGTAAAGATAACAATAACGAGCGCAAAAGTTAAGTAAATACTCTTTTTTACTGAGGAAAGTGGCCACAAGTCCTTGGCATGACAACTGGATTAAAAAAGGGAATGACATTTCTCCTATTTACTGTGTAAGCTTTCTAAAAGGCATCAACTTACACTGCTGCTGTCATTAAACGGTTAATTTGAAGAAATGCTCCAGCCTGTATGTGTGTGAGTGTTATGAATACACATTTTACAAGTACAAATTAAATAAATACTGTTAAATAATAGAAAAAATGGTTTATTCAGCCTGTCTTCGCGTTCGTACAACTGTAATATTGTGTTTGCTTTGGATGATGATCATCCCTCAGTTTAACACCCTGCAAATGGAAACAGGCCTTTTTTTTATTCTTATATTATCATATCCAATTGATCCCTAGTCATACATGTTGGAACACGGATCAACTGAATGACTGGAAGAAAAACCTGTGAGGAAATAAAACCCTGAAAGTCATATAATACTATGCAAGCCTGCTCACGTTTAAGTGTCAGGACTGACTGAACACGCACCTGTACGTCCAAATGTGTCAGCTGATAAGACCACATGATATAACTGTCTATCACAGACAGAGAAGTGGTAAGGCACACACAGCTCGGACAAAAAAGGGATGTGAGCACAGTCAACGTGCATGCGTGTTTAGGCTGTGTGCATGTGCGTGTTATTGGGAATTGTGAAAACACTAAGCTCTGGGAGTGGAGGCTCCTGGCAGCCATAACTTCATTACATATTAATGCGCTGTTGTAGAAATGATACCGCCAACAGTACATCGTGTACTAAGGCAACCTTCAGTAGACATCCACACCTTCTATGTAGACTTTGGTTTACTGTAAGATAACAAAAGGGTTGTCATACAATTTGTTAAGCAGTTAATCGAGTGAATAATAGTTTCATTTCCCTATATATCTGTCATTACCATTTTTTCTATTATAGTGGAAACAAAGAAGGAAAAAGCAGAGCACTAGCTGTGTATTTTGAACATCCCAACTAAATACTCTCAACTCAAAGTAGAATTAACAGTCATTTTAATCGTCACTTTTACCCATTTTTCCTATTATAAACATTAAAACTTTATGCCATTTCAGGGCATGAACCACCGTGATTTGTGCAAAAAAAAAAAGAAGGATCACTCTGTAACTGGTCCAGACAGGTACAGTTAAAAATTTTGGGCTGAAACTGCCAGTGAGGCGTATCTCACTCACTTGCTGTGTTTGTTAATATGATTTATCAGGCTACATGCTCTGTCATATGGGAATAACGTCTTCAAGGGGTGATAAGTACTTCTTATCTCATAAGAGGCACCCTTGTAAGAAGGTCCAACTGAAACTGTCAGTAAAAGGAAGGATATAACAGGGTATAATAAAGTTATTGATCTGATTTTTAAACAACCCCTTTGTCCTCAATGTCTCTAAAATGATTATTCATCTTTAAGTCTCTGGTGACTGAATAAGAGGTGACTATAACTAATATTTCTTTATCCCAAAAACATTCAAATGACAAATGTGAACATAATTATACTTATACAACCTGGGGTTTCTTATTTATAATTACTTATTACAATCGTCGCTTGGCTTATTTTCTTTAACTGATCCATTTCTTTTGTTATTATGAGGCAAAAGCCTTCTGAAACTTTCCAGTAACAGTGACCAAACTGTCAGATTGTCATGAGTTTCTGTTCTGTTTCAGACACAGCTGGGTCACGCTAACAGTTTAAATGTAATACATCAGCATAAATAAAAAAGGATAAGTAACAATAAGTCCAATGTTGCTTTGCATGAGTTTAGTTGCATGAGTTTTAACTTTTTTTGGCGTCCTAGATTTTGACATCTCTTGCGAAACAGCCACAGATCGAATATGGATTATATAAAGTGCCTTTAAAGTACAGGAAGTTCTCTGTAAACTTCAAACCACAGCTACCACTGGATTTCCTCATCTTGAGGATGAGTTAAGCAGATGTCTTCTTTTTGAAACATGACTGTCTCATATTACTGGTACGTTAAGTAATTTCTGGAGGTTTTATAGACAAAACAAGCCCCCAAAACAAATCTATGCTTAGGGTTCTGTAAAGAATGTGGATATGCCTACTTGTTGGGACATTCATCTGATTATGTTTTCACACTTTTGTTTGAGGAATGGAAGCAATTTACTGTATCTTAAAGATCCTCTTATTCTAACAATTGAACTATCCACCAACTTGTGATTACGTGTGACAGACAATTTGTTTCTTACATCTCAATGCACCACAGTCACTGCAGACTTGTGGGTTTTGCACTTCCTTTTTTCCTGTCATAAACATATTGCGTAATATTTTGAGCAATTTTGTAACTTGTATAACCACATGTTATTGAACTTTGATGTGCTTTAATTCAGATAATTTGTTTGTCGTAGAACTCAAGAACAATCAAAACACCCCTTCCACCGTAGTACTCACATCATCTCTTTTTTCATATAATGGCTTTCCTTCATTATAATTTAAGGAATATTTCATGTAAGTTATGTTTAAAAATACTTTTTGACTAATAATTATTATTCAAAATTAGATTGAAAGTCTGCAACTCAGATGAATACACTGCACTACACTACATCATTAAAGATTTAGATGTGGAGAGAATTTTTCTTTTGGCTGGAATTGTAAGGTACAATATGGCATTATTGATTTTTTCTTGGAGTAATTTGAACTTTCCCACTCATATCATAGTGCCTGGGGGTATCTTAATAAGAGATGTACTTATTGAGCATGTCCCTTGGTCCTTTTGGTCCTGAGAAAACTCAATGACTGCTTTTGTATTTATCTGAATTCTAACTTATCTAAGTGAGGCTTCAGCTGTTAAAGGATGTCTGATGATTTATCAGTATCATCTGCTAAGATAAATCACAGCTCTCAGCAACAGAGGGAGAGCCAGGACACTTTTTCTTCTTTGACCCTTCTGGTACCCCTGGCCTTTTCAACACTTGTTGTCCAGTCATGCGTTTTGCATTCACAATGTGCTGCAGCTAAAACATTGCGGTTTAGTAGCGCTCTCTTTCTGCTTTGACACTGAGCTTTACATGTTGTATTCTTCTTCCTCAAATTCAGACCTACGTGTGAAAATAACTTTAATTTTCTGATGATTACCATTCTCATCAACAGATCGAGCTGCATGTGCACCTCGATGGAGCCATCAGGGTGGAGACTATTCTTGATGTTGCCAAGTTAGTAGATTTGCTTAATTTGTAAATTGAGTAAATTCTTTGAATGTTAATATTAGATTTCAACCCAGTAATGCCAAATGTGTCATATTTGATACACACGGTTTCTGAAATGTTTTGCATCTGACACCTTTTGCATAATTTAATGGTAAAAACTTTGCTCAAAATCCTAATTTACACAATCAGATACACCTGATAACAGGGGGCCGAAGACTACACAAAAAATAATCTTGACTTATCGCATAGTAATAAATCATTAATATTAAAAATGTATTTTTGTTTTTTGTTTTTACATATTTTGTTAAAAGGCCAAATAAGGAATTCAAACCAAAAAAAAGTAATTTTCTGTTTTGTTTTATTCTTGGATCAGGCTTTAAAGGGTTAATCTGTACTTTTAAGGTCTAGATTCACTTATTAAAACATTTTTTTTTGTCATCTGTGTATTCTCAATATATGCCCACCAATCAAAATGAGACAATCGAACTGTCTGTTTACATTGCAATAGCATCCTCTTGCTGATGTAAACAAGAAACTGCAGAACATAACCTAAACCTTCCTCTCATATGCAGTATGCATTGTGCCTGCTGCAGGGGTTTTGAGTTTGCTGTGCCCAAGTTGAACTTGTTTCAACTTCAGCACGGAGTGCAGGGACTGTGTTCCAAACCTTGAGCTGCATCCAAGCATGGAATAAGAGACATTGTTCAGGAGTGACGATAGCCGGGCTAACATTACCCGTTTATCGCCATCCGTTCTGGGTTAGAGGGCCACGCCAGGACAGAATCTGCCTTTCTCTCTGCAGTCATGATGCTACAACTCTTCTTTTAAACCTCTGATATCCTCACCTTTAACCATTTTAACTGCATACTGACTCTATTAGAACAGCTCTGCCAGTTTTTGTATTAGCTTTATTTCAATGATGCCTCTCTTTTAACTTTGTTGTGTTATTGGCAAAATATGTTAAAGTTGATTCTATTTTCCAAATACCATTACATTCATCAGCTAATACGTATGATATGGTTTTCTTTGGAACTGTGTCTGTTAAATAAATGTTGAAACAATTTATGTGTTTCAGTGGGGTTATTCAAGGTAATCTTAGTAAAAAAGGCATCCTACAATATCTTAAATGAGAACAGTGAATAAAAAAATCCATGAAAGCTGCTCTTATAAAGCTACTAAGCAAACTTAATTTATAAGTTATGTATTTGTAATTAGATGTAAAAAATTACAATATATCACACAAGTTACAGCAGTTGATAACGTCATGAATACACTATGAGAGAATATGCAGCAAATAACCTTAGAGCTCAGAAAGCTGTAACCTTTTTATATCTGCTGGTCAATCGGATAGCCACCTGTCCCTCTTTTATTGTCATTTCAAATCATGTATTGAAACCGGTCCAAATTGTTAAAACATCCAACACAGTAACAGCATTACTGTCAACTTTTGTGATAATGTCTCACATCCGAATTGCTCATAAATGGTCATAAATTCAGGATATTGTCACTTTTAGAGAAAAAGTTAATAAAATCTTATGTTTCACAATTGTTTGTTGGTCAAATGACTGTTAAAGTGCTTTAGTGATGAATGAAATAACAACATTTCTAACTAAGGACTGAAAAAGATTAAAGTTATATCATGGGAGTTCTTTGTCACTATAAAGCATTGTCACTATACTATGTCACTATAAAGCATTAAACAAATTACTGAAAGAACATTATTGGACTTTTTATATGATCTGTTAATCAGTTCAGATTTTGTTATTTTGTTTAGAAAGTTAAAGGGAAGTGTGTAACCAATGGTGACACTGATATTAATCACAAAGCAATGAGCATGACCAAAGAGTTTCAGTTTCCCTTTATGATAAAACAACACACTTATTTAAATTTCAGCATGATAAAAAAAAGTCAACTTTGCTTTACTCTCTCCAGGACACGTGGAATTCCTCTGCCGGCTGATACTGCTGAAGGATTGAAAGACAGAATTATTGTCCACGAGCCTGGTACACTCACAACATTCTTGGGGAAATTCAACGAGTACATGCACGTGATTGCGTAAGTGCTGACACATCACCTTTATGTTATGTAACCACCAAAGGCTCTTTCTCATTGAGCCTGAGACAGAGGGGGTGCAGAGGATAAGACTGGAGTTATCTTCATAACTCCAGGGTCAATCTCTGTGGCACAAGAATGTTTACAGTTAGAGTCAAAGTCCAGTCACTGGACTATGTTTTATCACGATAATATACATTTAAAACCAGGGCATGTAGTACAGTTTGTATTGATTAGAACGTAAGGCAAAGCAGAATTATGTAATATAGCTCTGTTCTGGCGCAGAGTGGGTCGATTTTAAATTCCAGACACGCAAGATAAGAACACAGCATTATTGGGATTGACTATCACCTTGGCAACCAATCGTAAGAGGATCGTAAACCTGTTTGGCGAGCCTGTCACGCTGCCTTATTTTTACCTCTGAACCCTTTAGAAATCCCAAAACACTGTTTTTCAAATATTCAAAAGCTTCTCTAAAGGACGTTGGGCTGTAGTGTCTGCACAGCAGCATGTGGTATTGCTGAATAGACCCTTCTCTGTATGGATTGATAAAAGCCATATGTGTAAAACAACATAAGGGAACTTGCCAGTATGTTTTTGCTTGAGCTGAGTTGTTCTATTCATTTCACTGTGTGTGCTGTTGGAAGAGTCATTAGAGGATGCTGGAGAGCATCAGACCATGTATTGTGATTGTAAATGCTGGAATAAGTGTAGTTGTGGTGGTGTGACATGGTGTTGTATAGGGTTGGTACATTATTTCTGTCTGTCTGTCTCTGTCTCTCTCTCTCTCCACCTCTCTCTCCCTTGTTCTCTTTCTCCCTCCCTATATGTATGAATTTATTTATTTATTTGAGACAATTTCCACCACAAAAAGTGATCGGTAAACAGAAATTGCAAAACAAGAAAATATAAAACACCATATACCTCCATCTATCCATTCTTTTTCTATACCGCTTATTCCCAACATACACATATTCATCAGTATCAGCTCAACACTGCATTACTATCCATATATACATTTTAACAAAAAAATAAACTAATAATGTTTACTTAATTGACTAAACTTCTAAAAATATGACAATAATGGAAAGTGTCTGAAAGGGGGTAGGAAGAACTACAACTTATTCAATGGCAAGCCCTTGTCAGACAATCAAACCTAGATACACAGTCAAACCCATGTACATCAAGCACCCCTGATCCCCTTGTGCACCCCTGATCTTCATACTGTATTTTAGGCTTGTCCCGATCCGATATTTGGATTGGATCGGCCACCAATATTTGCAATACATGCTCTGATAGGCAGGTATCGGTATCGGCCGGTGTCGGTATCGGATCGGAAGTGCAAATACAATATAGGTATCGGGTCGGAAGTGCAAAAAGCTGGATCATTTCTACTGTATTTCTACATGCTAAGATTATTTCTATAACCATAAAATAGTTATTTAGGGGTGAATTGATTCAGACGGAGCACTACTGAAGACCTAGGTGTGAAATGCACGGTCTGCCACTGGCATACACATATACTGTATATCCACTGGTGAGTAGGATACAGTCACCGCTCTTCATTGTGGTACATATTCAAAATGACCACTTTGTACATTTTTTTAAACAGACTCATGCTTGGATTTTGCTCCAGCTCTATTTGGAGTTTATTCTAGACACCACTAACTGAAATGCACATTCTCTTCATTGTGTCTCAAAACTTTAAAGTTCTGAAGTTAAGGTTTTTCCTGTAACCATAGCCCCCAACTCTATCAGTGAACATCTTATGCATATTATTTGGTAGTTGTTTATTTCCAGCTTTGTACATCTGCTGAGCTGTTTGAAATTCTACCTGGGAGTTTGCGGAGACAGGACTCTATAAATAATAAATTGCTATGGTTGTGGAATCCTGCCCTCTGAACCATTCTGATGGATCTTTTTTGTAATGTGCATACCGACGCAGCAAAGTTTAGTAGGTGTTGCCCATTACTTCCACATAGTAATCTAAATAAGGCAAGATAAGAAAAAATATATAGAATATGTAATAATTGATCATTTAGGAAATGTTTAGCATTTTTGAGAACAGAAATGTATGTTTTATATGAGATTTCCAGTAAATCGTATGTTGTATCATCACTCCCAAAAACTTAATTTCATCAAATCTCACAACTAACTCATCGATTGGGATTAGCACTTTTTTTTTGCTTTTGCAGTTTCCAAACAGCAAAAAACTTTATGTTTTTATGTCGTTGTTGTTTTGTCTTTACTCCAACATAGTATATTTAATGAAAGATTCAACTCGGCGGTGAAATGAACAGGACTTTACTTAGCTTCACTGTAGCGTCAAAAGTTACATATCAATGTGCTGGCAGAATAACCGATAGGTAAACTCAGTAGCTAGGGGAGTGGTTCCACTGAAATAAATAGATCCACCTTATATACTAAAGTTCTATTCAAAGTTAATGATGATTTATTAATGATTATTGTCAATCAAAACAAAATAAAGTATTCAAACTTTACTGATTTCAGTGATATGAATATAAACTGTTTTTGTCCCAATACTGACCTCTGGGGGACACCACAAACAATGCCTAAGCCAGATGACTGCCACTCAGCCATTTGTACAAATTGCTGCCTGTTGCTTCAATAGCTTTTCATTCAGTGCAGGACTATTCCCCTGGTACAATTTCTTGATTATTATTTCAAAATGTATTGGTGTGGATCTTTCTGATGTTTATCCTGTGTACCTGTGTATGTCTCTGTCAGGTTGCACCTCTTCATCTGACTCTGAATCTGAGTCCATTTGTAGAAGGTGAATTTTCATCGGGTTCTAATGACTCCTTTATTTCGCTCATGTCAGACAATTGAATTGAGGGTAAAACAGGGCGGGAATGCATTAATGCATTTTTAAAAATATAAAAATATCGCATTGATTCCATAAATGAATCATCTTGCATTAAGAAGATGATTTTGACAGCCCTAATATGTATATATATATTGTCATATACATAAGGAAACCCCTCACACACATACCACATGCAATCACATAGTTTGCAACTGCATGGGCCTGAGGCCCACTGTCATCCAGGCGAGCCCTGATGCCAGAGAAGAGCATCGCCCCATCTAAAATCTAAAATGATCTCAAATAAAATTTCTAAAAATAATTTTAGCATTCCAGTTCATGACAATAGATTTTCTTCCAATAAATAACACAGTGATGACCATGTTTATGTTATGTTTATTCATGTTTATGCTTTTATCCAAAGCGACTTAAAAAGTAGACAGATTGTTACAGTTATCATAAGTTCTCTAGAGGAAAATCCTAAGTCAGAATCAGTAGTGACAGCAAAGAGAGAGAGGGAAGCGCAGAAATAGTTGTAGAGGGGGTATAGAGGTATGGGTGAGAGTTAGGATAGGAGATGCTCTTTAAAGAGGTGGGTCTTTAAGAGTTTCCTGAAGATAGACAGGGACACTGCTGTTCTTGTAGTGCTTGGTAGGTCATTCCACCATCTTGGAACAACACATGAAAACAGTCTGGGTTGTCTTAAGCGTGGTGTAAGCACTGCTAGACAACAAACCATTGATGACCGGAATGACTGATTGTGATATAAGCCTTTGCAAAAGTCGATGGGACCGTACCTTTAAGCACTTTGTAGGCTGGCATCAGGGACTTAAATTTGATGCAGGCAGCCAGGGGTAACCGGTGAAGCTCAGTGAACGAAGGGTTGATTGAAGACCAGATGTGCCGTCTCGTGCTGGATTATTTGTTATGGTTTTACCATACAGGCTGGGAGACCAGTCAGGAGTGCGTTACAATTGTCAAGGTGGGAGAAAACCATAAACTGTACCAGGAGCTGGGTAGCATATTGGCTTAGGTATGGCCGGATCTTTCTTATTTTTAGTCGTGTAAAGTGACTAAATTGAGAAACGAATCTTCAATCATGACATCCAAGTTTCTTGCTGGTATGAGAAACCATGTGATTGAATTATCTGGCCCAGAGTGGTGGCGTATATGGCAAAGAGAAGAGGTCCCAGTCCTCTACCTTGAGGAACCCCTGTGGCGAGGTGGTGCACTGCAGAAGTGTGACCAAGTCAGGATACTTTGAATGATCGACCAGTGAGGTACGATTCAAACCAGGAGTGTGCTCTACCTGTGCCCATGCTCGAGAGTATAGATAGAAGGATGTCATGGTTGAATGTGTCGAATAAGTCAAGCAGGATTAATACTGAGGACCTCCCTGTTGCTCTCGCCTCTTTTAAGGCTTCTGTGACAGACAACAGAGCCGTTTCAGTGGAGTGGCCATTTTAATACCCAGATTGGTTGTGTGCTGACATGTGCTGCCATGTGTGCTGACTTCCTTTATATGTTGATGTCATGTAAATCCCCAAGTATGCAGTGTGGAGTGTTGACACTTCCTTACAAACTGGCAGAACTTTTGAAAAGGGGCACAGAACCACAGAGTGTGCATCGTTATCTGGTGTGTTCCGTGCAATGTCTGCAGATATTTGAAGGCGTGAGACTCATCTTGAACATCATTTGTCGTGTATAATGTGGTCTGTGAAGAATGTTTTATTGTATGAGCTGCAAATAAGGATTTGCAGTTATACTAAAGATGTTCAAACATATTTGTGGCCAAAAGTTACAATTAATAATGATTGATGGTTAATCTGTCTTTGAAAATAACTTATATATTTTTTATAGTAGTTTGCATAAATATTCTGATACCTAAGTCCAGATGGTATAATAAATATTTCTTAGTCATTATGGACATAGCAAGATGACTGCCACTCAGCCATTTGTACTAAATATATACCTACAGTACATCTTGAATTTGAAAAAAAATCATATTTTATTTATCACTAAAGTAGGGTTCAGTGAATGCGCATATGAAACTGATGGGTTCAGTACCTCAAAAAAAGTTAAGAACCAGTGGTTTATAGTCTATAGTCTGTGCGCATCAGGTGTCTTTCCTCCCAGGCGGCCTACTCGCTTGAAGGTGATGTTCTTCACTGTGTTGAGTTTGTGTAAAGTTCTACATTACAAATTCAGGGTCCTCATCTGACTGCTCTAGGATCCCAGAGAACACAGCGTTTTCTCTCATTCTGCGAGCCTGAAAGTTGATGATCGTTGCTATGATTTTTTTCGTAATCCTCAGAAATTCGGCTCATTCCCTCGGTGAGGGATTTCACAGAGTCCCTGAGGTCATGTTCTCTGCTGCCATCCCATGACGATCCTTTTAAAACACGTGGCTTTCATCTTTATAATCCTTCAGGCTGTGCAAACTTTCTTCGCTGTACTCTTTTAATTTTATTTCCCCGAAAGATATTATTACGTTATCATTGGCGAAGTCATTAGCTTCCTGAATAATTTCTTTGTTTAGAAGCATGCCATGTACTTCAGTCTCACTGAGTCTTGCGACACTACAGCATCTCACACTCCCTGTGAGAAAATTGTTAAATACCATGTAACACTATGCATGAAAAATGATACTTCTCATTGTGTTGAAACGAAATATTGTATGTATCTGTGGGTATCCACAGTGGCAGGGTGTGTGTAGAAAGCAGTTTGCATATCACCTTAAAGAGCAAAGTCTCATAAACATCTGCTTAGTCGCACGGAGATCAAATTGTGCAAAATGCTTGCTTACACAACCGTTCAATTCCTCACTCATTAATCTTCCAGGATTTTACAAGGGAGGCTGGGCGGAAAATATTTGAAAGATGTCTAAAGACATTTTGGATCTCACATGCATATCTACTCACTCCAGAGTATATACAGAATACTTTTATAGCTGCTGTATAAACTGACACTCATAATGTACAAGCTTTCAGCAGGAAATGTAAAAACCGGCGATACGTTTCAGAATTGTATTCCCTTCCTGAACATGTATGACTAAAACTGTGTAGTTAAAAAGACTGATTGTAACTTCCCATTCAGACTCTTAAGGTAGAACCAGAACAGTTCTGCCATAACAGAAAGCTTGTATAATATAAATTATGTTAAAATATTTGTTAAACCAATAAGTTTAATGGCAATTATAATTAATACATTAAATCAAGTAAATATAATAATTTTGATAAACCATTTATAAAGCATTTAAACAGTGACATGTTTAAATGCTAAATAAAATGTGAATACAGAAACATCTCTGATTGAAGTTTAGTAGATATTTTACTTCAATTTCTAACCTTTATGTAACTTTGATTTTAAGATAATATTTTAGACAAAAAAACATGTTTGCACATAAAGTACCGAAGATTTAATTATCTGCATTTAATTATCTGCATTGTCCAAAATTAGTTTTGACAACATGTCTCTCATTAAGTATGACATATTCGTTCTCTCAATTTTACTTGTTTGTTTTTCCTACAAAAATCTAATTGCATATACTTACCTTCATGTACTGCAATGTATTTCACATTTGTGCCTACTAATATGTTGAGAAATCAAAGTTGGAATCTCCAGGATAATAAAGACACACATTAAATTAACTATAAAAGTAGAATAAATCTTAATCAAAGCATTTTGGAACTTCTTTTGGAGATGGTTTTTAGTCTTTACAGATATAAAGAACAATAACTCCACATATGGTCGGAGGTCGCCATTCCATCACATTCCCATTCACTCTTACAGGCAATAAAAGTTTCCAATTGCCGAACGTGCATGTATTTGGACTGTGGGAAGAAAATGGAGTACCCATGCTTACATGGGAAAAACATCCTAACCCCACACAGAATTACTTCCAGCACCCAGGAATTCAAACCCCGAACCTTCTAACTGTGAGGCAATAGTGCTAACCACCATACCATCAGCCCAATTTTTGGTTGTGTTCACAGTTTATCATAAAATGCATAATGTCTTCTAAAATAGCATCATTTAAGGACTATTATGTTGAGATTTTAAACACACTTGATGTCAAAACCACTGGAGATTGCCTAAATTTGAAAATATTTGTGGACTGCAATGAACAAACAGAATTTAGGAAAGTCTCCAACCAGCCTTAATCTTTATACACATAGCATTCTTCTCTTCCTTTTTTAATTACTAGTCTTATATCACTCCACCACCATAAGTCATAAAGAGTTTGTATCAAATAGGGTAAAACAATCAATTATTATGTCAATCATTATTGTTGTGTTGGACATATATATAATATGTGCTATATTTTTTATGGCATCAGTAACAGAACTTTTATTAACTGTTCTACTTTTGATTAATCCACTAAATCAAAGCCATTTCTTTGCTTCCATTTCAGTGGCGACAGAGAAGCCATTAAGAGAATTGCCTTTGAGTTTGTTGAGGACAAAGCCAAGGAGGGAGTGATTTATGTAGAGGTCAGATACAGTCCACATTTTTTAGCTAACAGCGATGTGGAGCCAATTCCATGGAACCAGCAAAAGTAAGCTTTTTTTCCCCCGATGTTTTTGGTCGGATCTCAAATCTGAGCTGGGATATGTATCTGTTCATTTTCACTAACTGCATGTTTTCTTGGTCGACTCCTTTTTTTTCTCAGAGGGGATTTGAGTCCAGATGAGGTGGTCCGCCTGGTTAACGAAGGCCTCAGTGAGGGGGAGAGGGCCTTCAATATCAAAGTCAGGTCCATTCTATGCTGCATGCGCCACATGCCAAGTAATGAACTGTTCATGCTCCTGTCCGCCAAAACAACCTTTTCAAATAACGATCTTACTATAAATGTACCTTCTATCTTATCACAAAGACCCATAATCTATGTTTTGTTTCTGACCTTGTTTTTTGTTAGTTTTTGATAGACAGGAGTTGTTTTTTTTCTAAACTGATATAGGCATGAAACTAAATTCAGACATTGAAATGCTAGTTGGCCAAACATCACATTATTGAACTAATAATGGAGCTGAGTAATAAGTATAAGGTTTAAGTTATTCTATAAGTTAGACCTGTGATATTGAGTTTGATAACATAAGCAGTTGTTAGCAGCATCATTGTCCTCAAGAATATATAAATATATATATTTCACAGACTAATTATTTTAGATATGATAGTATTACCTGAGGGTATAACAAGATACAGGTCAAAATTACATATTGCTTTCTTGTTTGTCAGAACGCACAGTTTTGTTTGTGTGTACAGTAAATGTAGGAACCCATGAAAGTGACTAAATTAAATTGGTTTCACTAAGCAATCAAGCAACTATCAGTGGTTTCATATTTATTTTGCAGATTGCACATTGTCTAATTCTCTCTCAAGTTAATAAAGGTGTTAATAACATGTAAACTAAGGAGCAGTCCTCAAGTAATTTCAGAGATAGTTACAGAATTGTGATTCATAGTTTTTGCTGGGTTTAAAAGCTTCATTTGGGCAAATTATGTGTGTGTTTTAGCTTGCAGAATTGAACATTTTAGACATTTTGGGTTTTTAATTCTCCAGGTTGGTCCATGGATGTTGTGAAGCTGTGTAAGAAGTATCAGCGTGACGGGGTGGTTGCTATTGATTTGGCAGGCGATGAGTCGCTTAACTGTGAAGCTAATCCAGGCCACAGGAAGGCCTACGAGGTGAGCCAAAAAAAACAGGATTTTTCATATCTGCTTTTTTATGTACATTATATGCCAGATCTGTGGCTTCTTTTGCAGCTGCAGAGGGATCTGAAACATTTTTGGGTTTTTTTCACAATTTAGAATAACACAAACCGACAATCCAGTCAGAAAGGGGTTGAAAAGGGGGAAACATGTTATTTGCATCATGATTGACTTAAACATAATAAAAATATTTCTGGTGTTGACATATTCTCAGAGGCTGCTATTTATGGCATCAATTACTTTTATGGGGCATGTCTAATATTATAATGGTCAGACATTAATGATATAAATCCGGATTCCAACATGAACCCAAATTAAATTACTCATTGGGTTGCTTTGATGTGGAACTGATTGTAGCATGTATGGCTTTTGTTTTCCTTCTCGTAATGACTTTAGTTTCTAAAGTTCAAGAAAACAGTGTTTCTGCTGATGAATAAATACATCCTTAAAATAACATATTGGCAAAATGTAGGAGAATTCATATACATCTTTATATATTTTTAAAGTAATATTTCACTGTGTTAGCAGCTTGCTCATGACACCAATATACTGAAAACTCAAATTTGGTGTAAGTTACTAAAACTAAATACTAACTACTATATAAGCATACTTTATCTAATTTTCTTTAAGTTCACAATTTTTTTCTCTGTAGATTTTTTCTTCTCTTGTGCTCTCCACTCTTCTTCTCTTTTTCTTCTCTTTTTCTTCTCTTTTTCTTCTCTCATATCACAGTATGTTTTGCAGATGTGAAAGCCAGATGTTTGGCCATGATTGCTGATGTGTTCTAAGATTAATTTTGTTTACAGGAAGCAGTTCGTTGTGGGATCCACAGGACAGTTCACGCAGGAGAGGTGGGCCCAGCCTTTGTGGTGAAAGAGGTAAGTTGCTAACACATTAACACATGACATTTTAGAAAGAGTTGGTGGAGTTATTTGATGTCTTAATTTCCTTAAATATGTGTAAACAATACATAAACTCATGCATCAACAATAGAAATACAGGCAAGGATCCAAACATGAGAAAAAGTTTTGTGTTTGCAGAAGGACAGTTGGTGAAAGAACAAACTAGGAGGGCTATGGAATTACAAAGCACTGTGTGTATGCTCCAGAAAAGGGGGTTACTCAACAATTAGAAGACTGTTGTGTAATGCAGCGGTTAATTAATCTACATGTTTCATTGCCCAATGTGCACGAATAAAACAATGAACAGTACAGGAGCAATCAAACTGAGAACAGAGTTCCCATTAAGAGTAGAGCTTTATCTTCAGACCATTTTAGAGTGTCACCACTGAAGAGAGAATACAAGAGTACGTACAAGTGCATATATTAGAATTAAACTTTTTTCATTAAGTTTATACAGTTAGTGTTTTTTAACTATTTGTCTCAATTCCATGTCCCCTGTATGAAATATTAGGCTGTCGAAGTGCTGAAAGCTGAACGTATTGGACACGGTTACAGAACACTGGAGGACCAAGCCCTATATAAAAAACTGCTGGGTCAAGACATGCACTTTGAGGTAGTAAGCCCTCTACTGTTATAAACTTTTGCATCAACAGAATTATTATTTAATTGTTTTACTCATATTCTGTATATACAGAAATATGCCTTCTATCTTAGGTATTTAATTTGTCCTTTTTAGCTTTACATTGTTGGTAATGTAAAGAAATGCAGAAGAAAATTAATATCATGTATTTGTTGTGTGAGAACCTGATTGATAAGTAGGCTGGATACTAAAGAAACTATTGATATGAGTTAAAAGAATAAATAAATAAAAAGTGCTACTAAATCAGTTGAAATTTCATTTAGCTGTAAGTTTTACAATTTTAGAATTTCTCTTACATGAAAACATGAGACTCATTTGAACAATTATCATTATTATTATTTCACACTTTGCATATACAAAGATCTTGTTTTGGTTTTGAGGTGCTATAAAAATTAACATAAGCTGCCAAATACAAAAGTAAATAATTATATGTATAATTACATCTAAATAAAAATGTGTACATTATATACTGTATATCCAAATTCCAATACACAAATTTTAATTTGGGGAAAAGATAAAAGCTGCTATGTTAATAAATTACAATAACAAAGGGATCTTACCTGTAGAAATGGCGCTACACTGGCCCCTGGTGGAATCTTCCATGCCTGATCTGTTCAAGCTAAAACTGCAGTGTTGCTGCCTCTTTTGTCATGATTGCAGGTGTGTCCAATTTCCAGTAAGTTTACCGGTGCTTGCAACCCAGACTTCACCAAACATCCTGTCATCACGTAAGCATCTCTTCTTACATATGCTTTCTGATTAGAAGATTTTTCATTAAATCAGGTTTCCACACTCAGTGGGTTTTGGGTAATTATTTGCATTTTGTAGGTTTAAGAACGACAAGGCTAACTATTCCCTGAATACCGATGACCCTCTGATCTTCAACTCAACCCTTCACCTCGACTACAGCGAAGTGCACAATCATATGGGATTCACTGAGGAGGAATTCAAACGACTGGTGAGAACAAATGCAAGAATAGTTCATAAGGGGAGGTACTGTAACTTCAATACAGTTTAAATGAATTGAGAATGTCAATGGGCTTCCTATTTTCCTATAGAAACATCTTCTTAACTTCAAACTCAAAGAGGTTCTGAGTTGTTACTTTGCATATGGTCATAAAAGGGATAATTTCAAATGTTAATGTTGTGGTTTTTGTATTGACAGACGGTTTGACAGAAACAGCTTGTCTCCATATTACAAATGCTTTTTTATTGGCTGAAGTTTAGCAATGATTACATTATATTTTAGCAACACTGGAGAGGTAATTACCTATCACTGTAATTCATCTTTTGTGTTTGATTCATTATTAGACTGTGGGTCAACAGTATGGGGTTAGATCAGCTTCAGTACAACTTACATGTTTGGTCATGTGACTATCAAAAAGTGTATTATCTAAAATGTCCATTCATATTCTCCGAGTGGTTCCCAGGTTAGGATCTGGCGGACCAAAAAAGCATTACTAAAGGTCCAATGCTAAACAACCATCTTGAGTACCCTCTTACAAAATTTAAATTTTTTAAGGACAGATAAGTTAAGAAAATCGTTACCCAATTTTACAATGGAGCCACTGGATTTCGTCACTGTAGGTTCAGCTTACCTGTCTGTACTTGTTTACACTAGGCTGGAAAGGGAATAAACTATCAAACTACTCCTAATTTTGGAGTTATTACCTATTTGGAAAATCACAAAAATGCCATTTGTTTTGTCTTCTAGAACATCAACTCTGCAAAGTCAAGCTTCCTGCCTGACAATGAGAAGGAGCAGCTTCTCCAGAGACTCTATGAAGCATATGATATGATAGAAACAACAGCATTTTAATCCTCACTGGAACATCTATGGAGAATGTGACTTAAACCCAGGAATTTGTCACCCTGAGCCATCTCCCCTCCTGACACAATAGAACACATTCTTACTTCTATGTAGCCTGAGATCAATTCCATGGAATATCAAATGTACATGTTAACATTTGACCATTTATTTCACCTCATCTACCTGTATTTGCATACCTCTGGGGATTTTAGGGATTTCAGATGAGGTCATATCCTTCTGAAAGTAAAACATTGAATCAGATGCACATGCCAAAACAGGTGCATGTAAGTTAATTTTCCTCAAGCAGATTTTGCAACAGCGAAACATTCTTTATCTTATGTTTACATCTTTTCTTTTTTACCGAAAGAAATGTCAGGGAATATTTTACCGCAAAACAATTTAACATTCATAAAACAGCTTTGAACACAGCCTGAAGAGAATAGCAAGGCCAGCTTATTTTTTTGTTTGCTTCAGTCTCACTTAAACCATTTCAGTGTTTCAGGTTGAAACTGTGTAGGAGTATAACCGAAAGCAATGCATACCTAGTACTTACTATAGGACAAGATTATTTACCTTGAGCAGTAACTGGTTCAGTTTTAGGATGAAAAAATTTAAACATGGACATTTTTTTGTGCAGACTCAAAAACATATTCAGGTGAAAACAGCTAAAAACCAAAAAAGTAGTCTTACCACTCGACCACTAGGTGACACCATACTGTTTTTCATTTGATAATTACCCAGTTCTTTTGAAGTACCAATTTACTCAATTGAAAATATTATTTTCATTTAATTGATAAAAAAGCACTTTTATGAATACATTCATAGCACTTATGAAGAATATGTATTTGGCCTTAATAAAAGCTTTTATGAAAAATGTCTCCATTACTCTTTCATGACCTTGCTGAAAACATACTTGAATTTTTTCTATTGTATTCCTATTATTGTATCTCTTTAAAAAATAAGCTTTTCATTTGATTCATTATTATACATGAATAAAAAATAACAGCCTTACAGCAGCCTTGCAGCAATAAAGGAAAACTTAAAGCTTTACAGAAAAACTGCTGTTTTCCTTTTTATATAGAGATAAAATGGAACTTAGAGTCCATGTTAGGTGGAAATGTAAACACCATCTTCCTGTGAACATTCTACAGTGCACAAAAAAACACATTCAGAAATATTTATGGTTGTCATTACTTCTGGATGGCTGGGATTTAAACCTTTATAGCTCCCAGACCTGCAATTTTCAGTTACTGCGTTGGCAAAATGCTGAGTACAAGAAGCTGAACGTTCTCAAAAACACACAGTACAAATGTTAAAGTAATTCATAAGTATTTTATTACACAAAGAAAATTGATATCACAAAGTTATCACTTAACATTTAGCAATAAATATGAACATGACAGTAAATGATGACTATGTAGTTACTATGTAAAGAAAAACATTTGACAATGTAAAACTGAACAGGATGTTCACAAACATACACACACATACAAAGAAAAGAAAACAGATTATAATGAATATCCCTCAATGTCCCATAACAGGCTTGAGAAATGTATTAAATTAATTCTGCTTAGTCCATCTTCGCAGACATTAATTTAAAGTTTCTGTGCTTTCTTGTTTCGCCGGGTCTTTAGATAACAGAGCGTGAAACAAAAGAGTGTTGATGTCACTTCTATTATGTTTCATTGCCCTTGTTACAATCTGATCCAGTAACAGAAGAAACATTTGGGGTGGCTGAAGCTCCAAACATGCCGGCAGTGAGCAAAAGTGTCCCAGTGTCCTGTTTGGACAGCCAATATACCATTTCTTCCTTTCTCCTTACATTCTCCTGCTTCCCTCTACAAGTCACTGTCTCCACTCAGCCTCTGGCAGATTTTTAAGATGGACCCCCACCTCCCTGGGCATCTTGGCTAGTGGAGCCTTCTGCCTCAGGGGCAGGAGTGGCCCCCGGCTCTCCTGCTGCAGAAAGAAATGCAAAAAAACAAATGTAAACTCAGAAGTAACATTCCAATCTGCATAGGGGGGAAAAATCAGATTTTAGAACAAATATGCACCCTGAGGAAACAAGTATAATCAACAATATGTCAGATTTATATGAATATGTTTCAGATTTTGACACTTCTCACTAGATGTCCAGATCTTTGACCAAAAGATAAGTCATCAAGAACAGTGTTGAAAAGCATAAATGGTAAAATGGATACATTTGTGTGTTCCAAAACAGTCGACTTAATAAGAATGAAGGAAACAAGAACTAGTTGTTGCGTTCTAATTAGGGATGGGACGGTTTCTGAAAACCGTCTGAACCGTTCGGTTCGACTGTCTCGGTTCGGTTCGCGTGTGTACCGCACGGTTCATGCACTGCTCCTTTTTCTCAGAGGGAAGCGTGTTCACTCCAGACCAGAAGGGGGCGCTACTGCGCCCAAAGCCAACCACCAGTAGTAAACAAGAAGAAGAAGCGAAGCAGCGTAGCCGATAAAAATCCGACGCGCCAACAGCAGTTTCTAGGTCTGCTGTATGGACCACTTTGCATTTAGAAGGAAGCACATGTTGGAATTAGCAGTTTCCTCTCTTGCAATGCCAGAATCTCACCTACTTTTAACCTAAGACTGTCACAATAATGGATCAAATGTCAGACTGCTTTTTTCTTTCAGTTTTTACTAGGGATGGGGATCGAAACCCGGTTCTATCAAGGACCCGGTTCCACTTTTTTCAAAACCCAAAAATCAATAACGTTTGGGCTTATCGATACCACTACCGAGTTTGGTCGTTTTTTTATTATTACAATAGTAATTGTGAAATCTGTGTTGTAATCGGCAGCATACAAGCTAGTTAGCTTGAAAAGTGAATAAAGTTTCAGACGTGCTGCGTGATGATGTGTTCAGATTGGCTCAGTAAAACGACAATTAGGTTATCATGATGCGTTCAAGTGTAACGTAAAGAAAAGGGAAATTGAGTTTTTGGCGAGAAACATGAGTAATACAGTTGTATATTGCTCCAATTATTTTTAGAATATATAATTAAACTACTCATGCCAACATTTATTAAAAATTTATTAAAAATTATTAAATTATTATTATAAATTATTAAAAATTACATTTAATTTAAAATACAATTATTTATTTGTTAAATATTGTTGCATCGTCTTTCCACCAAATAACAGAAAATTATCGATAGTGGTATCGATAAAGACTCGGATCGATAAGGAGTATCGATAAAAGTATCGATATCAATAAATATTAACGATCCCCATTCCTAGTTTTAACCTGACTATACAAGACATAATAGATTTTCCTAACGATCACCATATACCGAACCGAACCGAAAACCGTGACCACGAAACCGTGAAACGAACCGAACCGTGGATTTTGTGAACCGTCCCACCCCTAGTTCTAATGCAACGAAATAACAAAAGTTTTTTTCGCATCGCATGACACACCTTTGCCAGATTGAAACATGTTAACTCATTGGCTGCCAAAGACGTCTATAGACGTCAATTCAAATACAACCGTTGACTGCCAAAGACGTCTATAGACATCTTTTATGTTTTTCAACGAGTGGCTTGGGGGACGATCTGATAAAGCTTTTCCGTAAATATCAGGCTTCTAGACAGAGTTTGTACTAACAAATTGACCCTCTAGATGGCAGTGCCACTTTTGATGGGAGATGAGCCTAGACTGTAGGCAAATAAAAAAAAGGTAACGGTTCGCTATGAGAGAACATGTCGTCGGTGAGACGCAAGTCGAGGAAGAACGGAATAAGGTAGAAACAAAAAAAAATTCCTGATAAAAGAAGAGAGTCTATTCTTTCTTTTGGTGTGTTCGGTGTTTACATAGTCATAGCACAAACTATTCTGTGGCTCTTGAAAAATCAGTCAAAATGCTCAAAAAACTCTGGCAGTCAATGAGTTAATTTGAGTACGTTTCAGATTTTGACACTTCTCACTAGATGTCAAGTGGTCACAGAAATTATCTTTGACCAAAAAATAAGTCATCAAGAACAGTGTTGAAAAGCATGAATGGTAAAAAGGATACATTTGTGTGTTCCAAAACAGTCAACCTAATAAGAATGGAGGAAACAAGAACTATTTGTTATTGTGTTCTAATGCAACGCAATAACAAAGTTTTTTTTCGCTCTGCATGACACACCTTTGCCAGATTGAAACATGTTAACTCATTGGTGTGGGAGGAGTTTGGGGAGGCCATGGAAAACGAATTCCGTACAGCCTCGAGGCGATTCTGGTCCACCATCCGGCGTCTCGGGGGGGGAAGCAGTGCCCCACCAACACTGTTTACAGTGGGGGTGGTGTGCTGTTGACCTCAACTCGTGACGTTGTGGGTCGGTGGGCGGAGTACTTCGAGGACCTCCTCAATCCTACTGGCGCGTCCTCCATTGGAGGGGCAGAGCCTGGGGATCCGGAGCTGGAATCTCTAATCTCCGGGGCTGAAGTCACCGAGGCAGTCAAAAAGCTCCGCGGTGGCAAGGCCCCGGGGGTGGATGAGATCCGTCCGGAGTTCCTCAAGGCTTTGGATGTTGTGGGGCTGTGTTGGCTAACGCGACTCTGCAACATCGCGTGGACATCAGGGGCAGTTCCGCTGGATTGGCAGACTGGGGTGGTGGTCCCCCTATTAAAAAAGGGGGTCCGAAGGGTGTGTTCCAACTACAGGGGGATCACACTCTTAAGCTTCCCTGGGAAGGTCTATTCAGCGGTTCTGGAGAGGAGGGTCCGTCGGATAGTCGAGCCTCGGATCGAGGAGGAGCAGGGTGGTTTTCGTCCTGGCCGTGGAACGCTGGACCAGCTCTATACCATCAGCGGGGTCCTGGAGGGTGCATGGGAGTTCGCTCAACCAGTCCACATGTGTTTTGTGGACTTGGAGAAGGCGTTCGACCGTGTCCCTTGGGGTATCCTGTGGGGGGTGCTCCGGGAGTATGGGGTACCTGGCCCTTTGTTACGGGCTGTTTGGTCCCTGTACGACCGGAGTCAGAGTTTGGTTTGCATTGCCGGTAGTAAGTCGGACTCGTTTCCGGTGGGAGTTGGACTCCGCCAAGGTTGCCCTATGTCTCCGGTCCTGTTCATAACTTTTATGGACAGGATTTCTAGGCGCAGCCGAGGTGTTGAGGGTGTCAGTCTTGGTGGCCTTAGGATCGCATCTCTGCTTTTTGCAGATGATGTGGTCCTGTTGGCTTCATCAAGTCGGGACCTACAGCTCTCACTGGAGCGGTTCGCAGCCGAGTGCGAAGCGGCTGGGATGAGGATCATCGCCTCCAAGTCCGAGACCATGGTCTCTCACCGGAAAAGGGTAGAGTGCATTCTCCGGATCGGAGCGGCCGTCCTTCCCCAAGTGGAGGAGTTCAAGTACCTCGGGGTCTTGTTCGCGAACAGGGGTAGGGAGCGTGAGATCGATAGGCGGATCGGTGCGGCGTCTGCAGTAATGCGGGCGCTGTACCGGTCTGTCGTGATGAAGAGAGAGCTGAGCCTAAAGGCGAAGCTCTCAATTTATCGGTCGATCTACGTTCCCACCCTCGTCTATGGCCACGAACTTTGGGTAGTGACCGAAAGAACGAAATCGCGGATACAAGCGGCCGAAATGACTTTCTTCCGCAGGGTGGCTGGGCCCTCCCTTAGAGATAGGGTGAGAAGCTCGGCCATCCGGGAGGGGCTCGGAGTAGAGCCGCTGCTCCTCCACGTGGAGAGGAGCCAGTTGAGGTGGCTCGGGCATCTGATCAGGATGCCTCCTGGTCGCCTCCCTGGGGAGGTGTTCCGGGCTCGTCCCACCGGGAGAAGGCCCAGAGGAAGACCGAGGACCCGCTGGAGGGACTATGTGTCCCGGCTGGCCTGGGAACGCCTCGGGATCCCCCCGGAGGAGCTGGCTGAAGTGGCCGGGGAGAGGGAAGTCTGGGTTTCCCCGCTCCGGCTGCTTCCCCCGCGACCCGACCCCGGATAAGCGGAGGACAATGGATGGATGGATGGAACTCATTGGCTGCCAAAGACGTCTATAGACGTCAATTCAAATACAACTGTATACTGCCAAAGACGTCTATAGACGTCTTTTATGTTTTTCAACGAGAGTGGCTTGGGGAACGATCTGCTAAAGCTTGTCCGTAAATATCAGGCTTCTAGACAGAGTATGTACTAACAAATTGACCCTCTAGGTGGCAGTGCCACTTTTGATGGGAGATGAGCACATAGACTGTAGGCAAATAAGAAAAAGGTAACGGTTCGCTATGAGAGAACATGCCGCCGGTGAGACGCAAGTCGAGGAAGAACGGAATAAGGTAGAAACAATTTTTTTTCCTGATGAAAGAAGAGAGTCTACTCTTTCTTTTGGTGTGTTCGGTGTTTACATAGTCATAGCACAAACTATTCTGTGGCTCTTGAAAAATCAGTCAAAATGCTCAAAAAACTCTGGCAGTCAGTGAGTTAATATGAGTACGTTTCAGATTTTGACACTTCTCACTAGGTGTCCAGTGGTCACATAAATGATCTTTGACCAAAAAATAAGTCATCAAGAGCAGTGTTGAAGCATGAATGGTAAAATGGATACATTTGTGTGTTCCAAAACAGTCGACTTAATAAGAATGGAGGAAACAAGAACTACTTGTTATTGCGTTCTAATGCAACGCAATAACAAAAGTTTTTTTCGCATCGCATGACACACGTTTGCCAGATTGAAACATGTTACTTAACTGACCTGGAGCCTTCAGGTCCATCCCTGCCAGGTCTTTGGTGAGTTCGCTCGTGCTCGCCCCTCCCTTTTCCTCCCCTGCGATGTCAGGCACTGCGTTCCTGCGGCCCGTGCGATCACAGTTGATGAAGTCCGAGTACGACGTCTCCACGTCCATCATCTGTCCATGACCAGTGCTCTCATTACACCTGTGACAGGGAGGAGGAAATGTTTGGCGTGATACTACTGACTCTTATCAGTAGTCCTCCGAATGATCATGACAGGCTGTTGCACATTGCTGTGTGCCTTTCTACTAATGGAATATTAAATAGACATACAAAAAAAAACATCTTAAGATGACACTGAGCTCATGAATGAGGCCACTGTTGAAACAGAAGAGCAAGTGAGAGGAAACCGCTCAGGGAAAATCGATAAGAATAAAGGGTTTTGATAATTGGCATTTCCATTTCAGAGCAGAAATTAATGTCACGGTGGTCCACTGATCAAAACAGAAAACCAGAGTAAAAGGGATCGAACAACAAAAGAGCAAGCCCTGAAAGAGGCCCAGAAAAAAAACTTTTCCTCTTAGCTCTTTTCTGTTTCCTGTTCCCAGGCCATATTTAACTAGGTCATGGATCCTGCCAACCACTAAAACACTTGCTAATTCCTCAGAGAGGAGAGGACAAAAAAAACCTCAATGTTGCTCCAGAAAAAGTTGGAAAAGATTAAAAAGCTGTGTCGTAGACTTGTTCGACCGAGGAAAAGGAGGTGAAATCTGGATCTGGAGACAATTTTCTACAAACTAAATGTCGTCATATCTTTGCAAAGAGCCAAGGCCGTGACCAACTCCTTTCTAACTCCAGACTTCCAACTTATTAAAGCATGTCAGCCATGAGCACAAATGAACAGCAGAGCTATTATACTGAAGAAAGCAAGGGAATGACAAGAATAAAAATAAGTTGGCACATTGACAACATGCTGAAAACTTTCATTCAGATGTTTCTTCTTTTCTTTCCAAAATGTCCCTCGCATTGATTTGTTTCTTTTATGGACGAAAGCTTGTGCTCATCTAAAAAATAAGGAACTTTGGTCAATCTTGAGAGGTCAGCAGGTGTTACAGATATGATATAGGTCTTTAAAACCTTCCAGCTTTCTGTTATGTCAATGGGTCAGTTTTGACCCGTGTCTTAAATCAGATGTAAATAACACTTAAAACATTTTTTTTAATCTATCTTAAAATTTGTTTCTCATTTCTTGGTTACCTTATTAGGCTTCCTTATCCATGAGAAGGTTTTTGGTGTGGGTTTTTGGTCAGCGTACTTATAAACTGAAATAAAAAGGGGTCATTGTGTTGCCTAACTTACTGAGCAGTATTAAAACATCTCTTGTTTTGTCATATACCTTTACTTCAAAACAAATTTAAACTTTTATTATATTCTTTTAATTTTAATCTTATCAACTTTTGCAATATCTATGGTGTTGTGGGTCACTTTCTACCCATTTGTACTTCAGGAAAAATGAAAACAAAAAAAGGGGTATGGTTAGTGTTTTCGACAAGGGCATGAATTGCTCAAAGCATGTCTGGATGTCACGGACTCGCATCGCTGACATTTGCAGCTGTTGCCCTGACATGTGCATCAGGAGACTGAGCTTCCAAAAATCTTTCATAAGGAGTAGCTCCTTATCGTCTGGACGATACTCTAGCTCATCTTCCTTTAAAGAAATCTGTCCAACTAGTTTAGTTAAAAATGTTTTTGTTGTATTTGGTTGAGGAGGAGGTTCCTGATGCAAAAAAAAGAACATTTACATGGTTCTTTTATTAATTTGAAACATAAAAAGGGGTCAGTGAAGAAAGGAGCTTTTATCAAGTCTTTTTTTAAACAAAAATGTCGACTCATCTGATCGATGCTTGAGTGCTTAAAAAAATTTTGAAGACAGCAAGAACTGTACACTTGCCGTCAAAGGGGCTATAAGCATTTGATGACAAAGTGCATTCCTGTTAGTTCAGTCAAAACACAAGCCCATATTGAAAACGACTGGGTGTTTTTGTTGTTTGTGTTCTGTTGTCTGCTAGTTTTGTCTCTCCACAGGTATTCGCGATGGTCTCCTTCAGCTTTCCACATGGATGCTTCAGGGGCAGTTTGATAGCAGCTGGTTGTCGGATTCGGTTATGTTGTTTCTTTTATATGTTCCCCTTCACTCTGCATCCCCCTCCCCCCAATTTTCTCTCTCTGTGTCTTCCTTTCTCTCTCTCCGCAGCCATGTTTAGCATCAGAATTTATATATCACACTAATAATAACTAAATCCTCAATGGTTGGGTAGGCTGATGCCCCTTGCCAGGCCCTTGCTGAAAAAGTAAATCTATGGCACAACTATGACAGTCAGAAATTCATTATACTTGCCATTATGCTGAACAGGACAAGGAAGAAGGGAAAGAAAAGACCGTATAAGACTTAATACACTCACATTTAACGCAAAATAAATCGAAACTACCGAAGGTGAAAGATAAATCCTTTCTATAAATCCTCCATCATATTTTTAAAATGCAAATAAGGAAGAAAAGAACCAGTGGAAACCTTGCCACATCACCACAACAAAGCAAAGGCAGAAAGGTATAATCACCAAAATCTTGATCATGATCTAACTTTTCAGAGAAAAAAAATGAAGTATGTTCTTCAACATATTTTACCAGTCTCTCCAGCTTCATAAAAATCAGAAACATGAAAAAATATATATATTCCACATCTGTTCCTATCAGCTGAATTGCTAGGCTGCTCAAATATTTCCAGAGAAACCTATAAAAACAAGAGCAGTGTCTGCACTGCAGCACTGACAGCCCCTGTGTGACTTCTTCTGTTTGCCAGTTTCATCTCCACTGGTTAAGTTGTTATGTGGATCTAATTTCCACGTGTTTGTTTAATTAGTCAGCTCGCCTGCACACGTGGATAAATCCTTCAGTGAAATCATTAACGAGTTTCCATGGAGGGGTGTCCATTGTAGTGATGATGTGCTCTTTGGAACATGTTTACACTCTCGAAAGCAGGGTTGCAAAGTTTAAGATGTGATAGGAGTACTTTGATGACGCTACATTAGGACAGCAAAGCTCACCTTCATGATAACCTTCTTTTTTTTTCCAGCAGTAAGGGAGGCTGCTACTTTTGTTGTCCACCTGCTATGGTTTGCATCATGCAAACGGATATGCAAAGTGACCATTTCCATTACCTTTAAAGTTATATTGAAGGCTTTTAATGCAAAATAAATGTACATCTTTATTACAATCCATTATATTATCTCTGAAGTGCAGAGAAAGTAAACATTTAGCTGTAAAACATACTCAGTCTTTACATTTGTAAATATTCACCAGCCAATGTATAGTTTTTTGCCTATTAAATGACATTATTTATAAAACAATATGCATGTCAATTGTCTGTTGTTTAATTCATAGATGGAGATGGCCCTCAGTCTATTTATATAATCAGAAAGGTATATTTGACGGAATGTTTTAGAAGTTAAAACTTGATAAAAGATCATAATAATTTCAAACTTTAATTCTGAACCAGCACCATATCATAGAAATTAAGCATTACACTGCTTTCCAAAGTGTGTTTTAAACATAAAGGTGTCATTACATGAAAAGCTTTCGTGGGTACATGGAGAGAAACTTGATACAGCCGTACTTGGAAACACCATACCTAAACACATGTCACAAGTGTGTTTCTTGCTAAAGACAATAACAATCCTCTGACTGACAGAGATCAACTAAACTTGATCTCTGTCTTTTTTCCCTTCCTCTGCTTCTGTCTTTGTGCTGTAATCTACAGCGGGAGGTCTCTGGCATGACGCGTAAACATGAACATTGGCTACAATGTGTGAGGTGACGAGTAACATGATAGGTCTTAGGAGGGACATATCTGGATCACCTAGCGACCCCTTTGTGAATGGAGGTTTTTGTGGTTTATTCCATTCCACTCTTATTTCTATTTCGGCTGACAGGCTGACTTTTGTCCCACTTGAGCCTTTTAAGTTTTATTTGTGTGTAATAAACTTATATTATCTCTAATTATCTACAACTCGACGAGCTCTTTCCAAGATTCGTGTAGAACCATGTAACCAAGAACCATGTAAGAACCATGTAACCATTCGTGTAGAACCATTTTTGAAAGAAAGTAAACATTTGTTTATTCATATAAAATGTTAACATAGCTCATCTTCGCTAAGCTCCAATGATGAAAAGAAAGGCTTACTCAAAGTATACTCAACAACTCCAGGCCATTACAGCTCCTGTGGTCAAACGATGCATTCGCAGACAAATTTTAAATAGTCGTTCTTACCAAAGTTTTCCAGGCTTCCCTGTCTGCTATCAGGTGTTTACAAATGCTTGCAAATCCATTTTACCCGCGACACTGTGTTACAGCGAGAGCACAACAACTCCAGTCAGCTCTGCGCCTTCCTCTCAACCCCCAACGAATGTGGTGTGGCCGCTGTCTATTCACATGATGTCAGCAGCTGCTGGGTCCACAGCGAGTCCACTTAAGGCACAAAGGAGCTGTATTTCCTCATTGGGATTAGCATTGTTGTTCCTCTTAGGTCTTCCTCTCATAAATAAATAAAAGCCCTGACCATTCAACTTGAGTTTGTATGTTTTCTCCATATCCTTCCTCTTATTACGGGATATGGGCAGGGTGTTAAAGATCTAATTTCCCATGGTGAAGGGGATATTGAAACTTGGCAAACGGTTCGTTTTTGCACTTCAGCAGGAAGCCACTTACACAGGCACTAAAAACTTTTTCTACTAGAAAGCCAGACAGGCATTGTCACTGCAACTTAAAGGCACTGGCACTTTAGACATTCTGGATTAATGTTGATTCACAGCAGTAGTTTCCATCTATTCTTTCAAGCATTCAGCGTTATCAACAATGACATCGGATACTCAATTAAATTTTCAATCTTTTTTTCACTGTGCACTGATACTCAGAATTTCCGTCATAAACAAGTGCTCAGAGTCCCTGTGCGTAAAAGCATTTTGAATCGGCCAAGGAGAGGATAAGAACCCTGACCATTCCATTAGCATCAGCTGCTTAGGAATAGTCTGGAGTGGACTGATGAATAAAACTAAGTGGTACTGCTTCTTCAGAAGACTGCAGCCAAATCAGACATCAATGTAGCCAGTACAGGCAAGCATTCGGGAAGTAGCTGACCTATGGTTTC